AACCCAGTGCTGGGTAAAATAGGGACAAACCCAGCAATTGGGTTGTTTTGACCCAGCGGTTGGGTTACTTCCCAGAAGGTTGGGTTAAACATTTAACCCAGCCGCTGGGTCAAAACAACCCAATTGTTGGGTTTGTCCCTATTTAACCCAGCACTGGGTTGTATTTAACCCAGCATTTTTTAGAGTGTAATATTGTCACGCAGGATTGAAGGAAGAACAGGAAGAGGAAGATAAAGTTTCAAAAGTCTTTTAGTAGTCTGCTTAAAGTACTCCAAACAGGCAGACAAACAAAGCACAACCTGTAACATAGACGTGAACGGACAACTGAAAACTGAAAAGACTGCAATTTAAATACAAAGCAAATGAGGGTATAATGGCTAATACCTGTGCAGGTATTCACAACTGAATAGTGACGGGAAAAATAAAACATATGAACTAAAGAATACAAACTAAAAGTCCATAAAACTGAATATATATGTGACAAATATGCTGGTTTGCTGCTCAATTATTATTGGTGTTCAAATATTGATTGATTGATACCAATGTAGGAAACCATTTTTGCTCTCTCATAATAATTTAATGAAAACCATGCAAAGTTTATTTTTTCAGTATTTGTAATGTGGTGTTTTGGGTTGTGTTTCATGTTCATGTTTTCATGTCTTTTATTTTGGAGTTTAGTCATGGTCCCTGTTTGTGTCATGCTTCCCTTGCCCTCATGTATTCATGCCATTGGTTCCTCTCTTCATTGTGTCATGTTCTGATTGGTAGTCTTAGTCATGTGTCCTGTCTGTCATTGGTTGGTTCTTGTCAGGTGACCTGTATTGTTTGTTATAAGTAGCCATGATGTTGTCATTGTTCTTGGTCGTGTATTGAATGTATTTAACCCGCTGTTGGTGAGTCAAGTCAAGTCAAGTCAAGTCAAGTCTGTGTTTCTTGTTTGGATGTTTGGATATCACCTGTAAATAAACTGCACTTGGGTTCTCACTTACGCTCGCCTTCAGTGGATGATTCGTTACAGTATTATGTTTAATAAAAACTTACCCCCAAATTCTAAATAACAGTGTATGAACAACACTAGTATGAAACTGCTGAACTGTTTTCAACATAATAATCAGAAATGCAGCAAATCAGCATATTATACTGATTTCTGAAGAATCATGTGACACTGAAGACTGGAGCAATGATGCTGAAAATACAGCTGTGCATCACAGCAATCAATTACAAATTTAAGTCATTTTCAAATAGAAAAAGAGTTATTGAAAATTGAAATAAAATGTACAATATTACAGTTGTTATACAGTACATGCAGCCTTGGTGAGCAGAAGATACTTTTCAAAAACATTAAAACACTGTAATATTCCAAACATTGACTCGGTATAATGTACTCAGTTAATACTCATATATGGAGTACAAAGCTCATTCTATAAATACCCTCACCTGTGTTCTAAGTTTGATCATATCCGCCTCCACCTGTGAATTTGATTCATTTAAATCTTTCATATCTTCATCCAGCTGTTTAACATCTGTGTCACAGTCTAAACCTAGAGTGAGAACAGACAAACATAATTCATAGCAGAAAAAGAATACATACCTGCACATAAAAACACCCTCTTGTTTGACTGCGTGCTTACTCTATAAGTGTGCTCGCATACACTCTCGGTTGGTTTGATTTATTCCCAAGCATTAAAAACCATGATATGTATAATTGGTATCATTACAGACATGCAGAGACCGTCATCATTTGTTTTGGTTTTTAGCTGTACAGTCTTAATGTGAGACTTTAAACTTTTTTTTTTCTTTTACCATTGCTTGTTTGCTGTTTTATTGTGAGCATCTCCACTCCTGATAGTCTGGCTTTCTTCATTGCTGCTGTGGCACGTGGGCAACCAGAGAGACTGTAAAAATAAGAGAGCATGAAATATGGATTATTATCACTTTTGTTCTCCAAAAAGAGACTGTGGGCAGCAAGTAAAAAAAGTCCCATTTAGTACTATACATATGCAAAGGTTTGGGATCAGTACGATTTAGTTTTTTAAATAAATTAATACGTTTTCCACACATTTAATTTTGACAGTAAAGACATTTAGAATATTGCAAAAGATTTCCATTTCAAATAAATGCTGTTCTATTGAACTTTCCATTCATCAAATATTCCTGAACAAAAATGCATTACCAAAACATTAAGCAGCAAAAACTGTTATTTTAAATTGTAATATTTCACAATTTTACTGTATTTGTGAGCTAATGAATGCAGCGTTGATGAGCAGAAAATATGTCTTTCAAAAACATTAAAAACTCTTCCCGACCTCAAACCTTTGAAAAAATAGACATTGAGAATTGTCTGTATTTTCCAGTAAATTAATAAAAAATATTCTTTGCAGAAGCTGACAACTGTTTTAATCACTATACAGTATGTTGTGATTAATGCACCAGCTACAGCACTGACACAGCACCAGAGGGCGCTCTCACCTAAATACTGACTAGTGCTGTTTAGAATAGCATACTTCTCTTAGGTCTATCTGCAGTATGCATACTGCTCACTTGCACAGTATGCATTTTCTCTATGCATAGAATACCCAAACAAAAATAGTATAGTGCATATTATATGTTGTACACTATGAAGTATACTAAATAAAAATAGCCCTGAAAGCATTCGCTACCATCTGTTTATGATTTTCTGTTAGTGTATAAATAGCCTGGTCAATCTATCATGTGTGCAGATTCTGAACATTATGGTCTTGTTTGTTGTTGCCTTCACTCTAGTGTTTGGACTGCTGTGACTCTCTTTCATACTAAGTTTTGTTTAGGGCGAGATGTTGCAAGTTGTCCTCTCCATGTTAAGCTCGTTAGCCCCCTGTGTGTTTATATAGCCCTAGTTTTTCTTTAGTTCCTTGTGAGTTGTTGAGGTCAGTTTGCCAGTCCTTTGCCTGTTTCCCCCAGCTTCTGCACAACGTTACAGTTTTTCACTGGCATGTCTCTTTGACTAGTGCATCTTTGAGCCTATATTTAGTATAAGTAAAATACTTAAGTACTGTTAAAATCAGACACTCTAAGACTTGTATTCAAGTTGTTTTGGAATTGGTGACTTGTAACGTATAGTGGAGTAATTTTCACTGTAAGGTATCTGGTTTTTAGGTACTCTTTACACCTCTGATAGTTTGTCTATACAATGGAAGTCAATGGGAACCAAACCCATTTGGTTACCAGCATTCTTCAAAATATCTTCCTTTGTGTTCCACAGATGAAATAAATCATGACAGATTTTTTAAAACATTAGATGTTTCTTTATTTTGGACTGAAAAGATAAAGTGAGGTCCTTGAGGTTAAATGCACCCCTGAGAATCAGACACCAGACACCCAAATGGCCGGACATAGATGATTTTATTATTTTGAGCCTAAGTGATTATTTTAAAATAGTAGATTGCCATGGGCTAACTGAGAAGAATCATTCAGTCTATTGCTATTTTGACATCAAGGAAATTAAAGAAAAAGCCTACCTTTCCAGATATCTTTAACTGGGATTCGGTTTTTCAGTTTGTCTTTACATTCAAAAAGCATATTTTAATAAAAGTTTGAGAGATTGATCTTTTTTTTTTTACCTTCTGTGGGTCAGGAAACTGCCGCTGACGTGTCCAGAGCCGTCACAGCCTGGGGTGGGACATGACGTGCCGTCCGTCTTCCCAGCTTTCCATGTGAACTGGGGGCCATTGATATAGCCGTCCTTCTGTCGTTTGGCCGCTAGAGGGCAGCCTGATGCGCTGCGGTGTGACGCATATTTGCCCGTTATGTGACCTTGACCGTCACAACCAGGAACCGGACACCTGAAAACATAAATAAACTACTGTTTCACTGTACTGGGATCTCTTTCACACAAACTACAAAACAAAAATAACACTGCCTATAGTGCGTGGGAGAACTTGCACAATTGGTGGCTGACTAAATACTTTTTTGCCCCACTGTACTTACAAACATTTATGGTAAACTAAAATACAATTTTATACCATTTCTATTAGAGCTTGTATTTCAATATATTCGTTTGTAATGTCAAAGTTGTAATTTAGTACATTTAAAATATATTGACTATAAATGTAATATTTGAATAACACACTACAGTTCAAATTATAATTAAGTACTTTACAAGTGCTTTAATGTGTTACGAAACATAGTAATTAAAAGTGAACTCTCTTTAGTACACTAACATCAATTGGATTTTTATTTATTATTGGAATTTTGTTTTGTTCCATGAGGGTGTGTGTGCACATTACCTTCTGTGTGAAGCGTAGTTGCCAGTGATATGTCCCGAGCCGTCACAGCCCGGGGTCAGGCACCTGGGACAGAAATACACCCTGTTACTGCCCAGCATGCAAAAGAACAGCCCTGACGTAACATTCCCAGCATCTTCAGAAAAATCAATATGGACTCACACAACAGCCTTTCTACAAACCTTCCAAATAAAACTCATGATTTGTTAAATGAAGGCAAGGCTTATAGAAATGTAGGAAAGAAGCTTCATAGCCTGAGGCAGTGCATTCATTACACTAGCAATAAAATAATAAGTGTCCAATAATCAGATACAAAACTGCTGTAAGCATCTTTTTAACTACTTTTATTATTTGACTAACATTAGTAGTATCTGTCTCGTTTCCCCTGTTTTGTGTTTAAGGATGCACTGTAAAAAATGACTGTGAATTTAACGGTAAAAGACTGTAAAAATGCTACAGTAAAAACCTGTTAAATGGTTAATGGTAAATTCCTCTACTATATACGGTGAAAAACTGTATTGGACATTACATGTATTGGACATCAATTTTACGGTAGTATACCGTTTTTGGAAGTGGAAAAAGACCGTATAATTTACAGTGAATAACCGTAAATAGACATTCCCAGAATTCCCTGTTACATTTCAAATTTGATGTTTTTTTGTTGAAATAACTATGTTTCTTCTTAGTTTTTTCTTATCAGTTTTGTATATTAGGGTTGTGTGTTACACCTAATGTTGTTAAATGAATGTTTATTGCATTATTTCAGTTTCATGTGTGTTACCATGATGGTGTTTAGTGTTTGTGTGAATGACACCTTCTATATATGTTATTATTTATTTTTTTAAATTTTATAAAAGCTGTTTGTGATGGGCTTTGGTTCATCATGTGACTCTCATCACCTCCTGCATTTGGTGGTTATCAGTGTATTACAAAGGTACAAAACAGATTTCAGTATATTAACATTATTTAACTGTAAATTTAAGTTAAAACCGTAAAACCTAAAATGTTGCTACTGTATTTTTTACGGTAAAATTCCGGCAATCACAGCTGCCAGTTTTTTACCGTAAATTTTACGGAATTTTTTTTACAGTGTGTTTATGTTTGTGTAATTATTTTTTACGAGGGAAGCTCAATAGTTCAACTCTGTTATGGGGATAAAACAACAGTGATCAGTTTTGTTAAATTATTATTGCTATTATTATTATTGTGTGGCACTTTTTTTTTTCTTCTTTTTTTTCATATTACAAAATGTATTCCCTGTGAAAATTATGGTGTGACGTAATGATATGTGTCAACTAAGGCAATTATTATCCATTTAACAGGGCTGGAACAACATGTTTTTATATATATATATATATAACATGTTGTTCCAGCCCTGTTAAATGGATAATAATTATCCATATATATGTATATATATATACTCCATTATCTATTCAAGTTATAAGCATATCATACATTTCAAACTTACTGTGACTCACCGTCTCTACTGAAATAACATTAAGTAGCACTTCTACATGGTTCATAAGTATTGGCGCTTAGTAAGCTGTAATCACACATTAATGATTAAAGTAATATTTCAAGAATAAGCTATTGATAAACTCATATTTGCTGATCCCTAATCAGAATTTTTGGTTAATTTCCCTATTGCTGCGTCTCATTATCTATGATGGCCATGGCCCTGGTGCTTTAGGTCTGGAATGGGATAACATTATGTTTTTGAAAACAACAGTTTGATCCTTACTTGAGTTCTTGTGAGTTGGTGGCCATCATACTCCGAATGCTTTTATCTGCTAAAGGACAACTTGAAAGACTAAAAGATTGCATATGCAGATGTTAGTGAAGCATAACAGTGGTCAGACATGCTACTAATACTAAACAACAAACACACACAGACATAATCCACTCAGAAAACACTACGAATGCAATAAAGCCATGGTGTAAGTGGAGGTTTTTTTCTCTCTCTATATTTTAACCCTCTGAATAGCAAAGCATTTTTTTTCTTGAAATTAGTACTTATCCCTGGTGAAATATTCAAAGGGTTAACATGGAGAGGCAGCCAAAATCCAAAACATAACAAAGGAAACTAAATATTATATTACCAAATGTCAAAGAAAAAGCCTGGTAAAAATGGCAACACTTCAATTGAGTCCCCACATGAGCATGTGTGTGCATTACAGGGGTTAGAAACATTAAAAGAGCTGAAATGTTTTTATTAGGGCTGCCAATTTTAAATTTTCGATCAGATTGATTACATGATATGTTGATTAATTAGTTAAATTAATCACAATTACTGCAGATTCACAAAAACATGAAGGTGCTACTTCAAGCGCGCTCCAATAATGAGAAAAATCTTTATCACGATATAAGTAACTTTCAATCACAATAAGGAACGCTGTCACATTTGAGCAATTCTGTCTGAAACCAGAGATGCTACTTACTGAAATGAAAGCCATATAGCCGATATTTCTCTATACTGTTGCTTAACTGATTGCTAATTCAAGTTGGGAAACAAATGGCTATTTCTCCATTTAAAGACAACTGAATCGTATCTTCAGTGTTGCTTTCTGAGAACTGTTTGTTTCTCCTGACATGTGGCAGAGAATTAGACTTTTTCAGACTTTTGATCTGACACCCAATCATATTTTGTTTCATACTTTCTGAGATTTGTTTACTCTTGCTTTGAACCAAACAGACCAAAATTGTAATCTTTAATAAAACAAAAATGTTATATGTGCTACACTACACTATAAATCTAAATCCAGAGGATCACTTGTATCATCATTATATATCTTCATTATAGATATAACATTATTACTTTCTGTAAAGCTGCTTTGAAACTGTGTATTGTGAAAAGTGCTATAAAAATACATTTCACTTGATTTGATGCATTATTACTGTAAATGCACTCCTTTTTTATTAGTTTTTCTTTAGATCATTAAATGAATCTGTTAAACTGACAGCCCTAATTCGATTACCTTTTTGGTCCAGTTACAGTCTATGCATTGGTGCCTAGTTGAACCTGAACTCTGATTGGCTGTTAATGCAAAGTGTTGCCCAAATATCTATGATGTTGTTTTTATCGTTTACACTTCTTGTTCATTGTTTCCAGTTTAGCTTCACTGTCTGCAAGAGTATATGTGTCACGAATCCTGTTCATGGACTTCTGTCCTCTTGCCACCAGAGGTCGCCCTCCCATTATATTGACTTTCACAGTACACAGACTGTTGCATGTCACTCTGGACTACATTTCCCATCATCCATTGCACTGATTGCACACAGCTGTAACCAATCACACACACTATATTACACCCACTCAGATCCTTCTCAAACTGGCGAGTATTGTTTGCGCATATCGCTAGTCTGTGATAGCAATGTTACGGAGTTTGTCTAGTTTCTAGTCTTGGTCTGTTTTGCCTGTTTAGTCTAGTTGTGGTTTTGGATATCTTGCCTGTCTTTGGATTGCCCCTCTCGTCTCGCCCTGCTCGGATACTGTTTACCCCTCGCCTGGACCATCGCCTGTGTTTCAGATTAACCTTTAGGATTACCTTGTTTGGACATTGTTCCCCGAAGATCGACCACGCCCGTTCACTGGACTACTCTTGTGTCTTGCCCTCAATATACCTGTTTGCCATTGTTTGACCCATGCCTGTTATGAGTACATCTCTTAATAAAAGCATGCACATGGATCCGCTCGCTTCACGTCTCTGTCGCCCCGTAACAGTATGAGTCCTAAATCACATCACATCCTAGAGACAAGCTGAGCCATGAACGGCTCGAATGAAATTATGTTTTAAATCCATAAAGCATAAAAAAAAGTGCACTCTGTGTCCTGACTCTACATTTATGTCAGATCACGTGGCATGCAGTAGAGCTGAGCTCTAAAGAAGAAAGTAAGAGAAGATAAAGGAGAGGAACAGGAAGAGACGGGTGGGTGATCACATCATTGCTCACGTTATCAGGTCCTTTTTGCTTTCTTTGCAAGGCAGGAATTTTGTTTTGGGAGTGGGGATGCCGACATCAGTAGTGTACGCGCTGTCCTCTAAAATGTCCTGGAAGGGATCCAGATCATCAGCCTGTAACAAAGCCAGAAAGACAGAGAAAGAGAGCTGTTAGAATTAGGTGTTTCGCCACAATCTCTTTCATTAGAGAATCATCTTGAACTGCTTAGAATTTCTCAGTTAAATATAATTTTTAAGGATGATACATGTTTCAAACCCTGAGAACCTTTGATCTTTCTCCAAATGACGGCCATATAAAAGTAGCAATGTATAATTACCACTCACAGTAATATTGTGAAATATTATTTCAATATAAAATAACTTTTTTTTTATTTGAATGTATTTTGAAATGTATTTTATTCCCTTTATGCAAGTCTGTATTTTCAGCATCATTACTCTAGACTTCAGTGTCACATGATCTTCAGAAATCATTCTAATATGCTCAGGAAACATTCCTGATTATTATCAATGTTGAAAACAGTTATGCTGTGTCATAAATAAATATATATATATATATATATATATATATATATATATATATATATATATATATATATATATTCAGAATGATTTGATTAATAGAAAGTGCAAAACAGCATTTATTTCAAACAGAAATATTTTGTAACATTGTAAATGTCTTTAATGTCATTTTTAATTAATTTAATGCATCCTCGCTGAATAAAAGTAAAAAAAAAAAAAATTTATTAACCTCAAACTTTTTAAGAGAGCATGCAAAATGCAACAGATTATGCTGACAAACATTTACAATATTGTTTACAATAATGTATTATTATCATGATACATACACGTTGCTTATTTATTTGAAGAATCACCATCCAGTAATAGAAACTGGTTTTCCATGAGAAAGTAGTTTGCCATGTCCTAAAGTTTGGATGTTTTGTCAAATAAGGAACCCCAGCTCATTTGTCACAGTGGAAAAAGAGGCTGAAGCTGAGTGCTTTGCACTGTGGGATTCAGTATTTCACACACTTTGCTTTGTAATAAGGTACACATTATGATGTAGGTCATCCTGGTATTTCATCCATAAATAAAATGTGCTCACTGCAGAAATAGTAACAGCGTGGTAGTATGCTATTCTGAACATAGTTAGATGTGTTTGATAGCAGCTGTTTTTCCAATTCCACTTTCCCTGTCAAACATCAATGCATCCTCATTTACACCAGAAAAAGGCACAGCAATAACCTGCATCAGGCCAGAAGATCTGCCATTAGCTGAACGTGAACATTTTACAAATCAGCAAAGAAACACGTTTTCAAATGAAAAGACACTTGTGCATATTCGGCCCATTTTCAGGAGACTGTGCCATTGTGCCTGAAAAAAAAATCATAATTTCTTCCAACCTAAAGTGCTTGAAGCATTTCTCACAGTGAGCATCATGGCGGAGGAGCAAACTCACTTTAATTGTAGAAATACTACTCTTGTTGTGTCATAGAATATTTTATTTTATTTTTTTCTCAAATATGCAGTTTATTAGGGTTTCAGCGCTCATGAACTCGTTGAGAGCAACCTCACCTCGGCCAGATCTTCTGGAATTTACCCCTGGCTCTGATGTCTCAATAATGGTTAAACATGAGATATAATTTATTTGGGGTAAATCTAATGGGCGGTCTTTGGTCTCATTAATCTATTATTGTTCCAGAGCAAATGGTTTACCATGTCAATCAGCTTCCAACCTTATTTGTCACAGGCACACTTGAAGTCCTTCACTTTAAAAATGCTCAATTCTTCCCCACACCCAATTTGTATGCAGCATCCGTTGGATGTTGAGAAGTGCACATCAATCAGTCCTTCCACAGTTAACACGGCAGAGGATGTGAAAATGAATCTGTTAGTTGTGCAGCATCAGTGAGACCTTTAGATTTCAGCAAATACCTTTAGAAAAGAAGGATTTACAGTGAGACTTTCCTGGTATGAAGATAAAAAGGGAAACAGCAGGTGGAGACGGAAATCAGAGTGCTGCCATACACTAGATGGCAGTGTGGTGACATGACAAAATCTGTGTGCGTGCCAGTGTCCTCTGCAGCTCTGTGTGATAGCTTTCACGGTTCAGGTTATCCAACAAGCCCTTTTCAGCATCATACACATATATATATATACAATATTCACTTATTACTGACTTATTAATGGTCAGAGATTTAAATATACAGTACATATGCAGTATATCTTTATGTGTGTTTTTCGGGGGTGGGGGTATTTGGTGATCATGATATATCTCAAAGAGGTTTGTGCTTACTTTTCTAAAGCAGTTGGAGGGGGGGAGCAACCATCTACTTTCACACAAGCTAGCACAACTCAAAAATGAAGTCTAATATTTGAATGCAATATATTTTACAAAAATGGCAAATTTGAAGAATATTAACTTATTCTGCTCTACTGAGAGATTTTAATCTGATGTTAGCATTAAAAGCATCGTCCTCTTTTGGTGAAGCACCATTCAGCAGGCTTTATGCCTCTGAACAAAACCAAGCGGGTATTTGGTGATCATGATATATCTCAAAGAGGTTTGTGCTTACTTTTCTAAAGCAGTTGGAGGGGGGGAGCAACCATCTACTTTCACACAAGCTAGCACAACTCAAAAATGAAGTCTAATATTTGAATGCAATATATTTTACAAAAATGGCAAATTTGAAGAATATTAACTTATTCTGCTCTACTGAGAGTTTTTAATCTGATGTTAGCATTAAAAGCATCGTCCTCTTTTGGTGAAGCACCATTCAGCAGGCTTTATGCCTCTGAACAAAACCAAGCGCTCTCTCTCTCTCTTTCTCTCTCTCTCTCGCTATCTCAGTGTGAGCTGGCTTATAAAGAAGATCCTAAGCTCCTCTCTGCTGATGTTCCTCTTTTGGTGAAGCACCATTCAGCAGGCTTTATGCCTCTGAACAAAACCAAGCTCTCTCTCTCTCTCTTTCTCTCTCTCTCGCTATCTCAGTGTGAGCTGGCTTATAAAGAAGATCCTAAGCTCCTCTCTGCTGATGTGGGTGAGGTGTGTGTGTGTGTGTGTGTGTGTGTAGGTCAGGTTTTGCCACATAACAGGCACAAATTTTTCCCACATGTATCGTAAAACCTGAAATTATATTTCGTGGGGAGCAGCCAACAATCCTCATGAGAAAAATGGCTCAATAAACATACAAAAAATGTCTTAATGAAAAAAGTTTGTGTGAGTTGGATTTGGGAGAAGTTTGGGGGATACAAAATATTAAGACATTTATATTTTAAGTATAAAAACATATACATCAAAGTGTGTGTGTTTGAAATACCCGGAATACCTCAGTTTAAATTAGTACATTAGAAACTATATGTGAATAATAAAAAGAAAATTCTGCCATCATTTACTCACCCTTGTGTTGTTTCAAACCTGTATGACTTTTATTCTTCAGTTGAACACAAAAGGTGAATGTCTGAAAAATATCCTGAGCCACTTCCTTCCATATAATGAAAGTGAATGGGGACTCAGTGTTATAAATATAATCTATACAACATATGCACAATATTGATTTATGATGAAAAGTATTGAGGTCATTATTTACTAATAATACTCCCCTCTGGTGAAGCTCTGAAATAGACTACAAAAGTTGTTAAAAACTACAACAATGCCAATGCCACTTGACTAATAATATAGTGGTTATGATGTTGCCAGGGTGTTTCTATGTGGTTCCTAGGGTTCAATAAGTCAGTTTAATAAGTGATATTCACAGAAACTCACAAAACTCATAAACTCAAACTCTTAACATAAAAATTGACAGTTTAGCATTCCATCACTTGCTCACCAGTGGATCCTCTGCAGTGAATGGGTGCCGTCAGAATGAGAGTCCAAACAGCTGATAAAAATATCACAATAATCCATAAGTGATCCCATTCACTGCAGGGGATCCACTGGTGAGCAAGTGATGGAATGCTAAATTGTCAATTTTGGGTGACCTATTCCTTAAATGAAATGTTGTTCATGTAATATGTACTAACTAAAAAAAAATAAAAAATAATTTAATTTAATGTTAATATATTTAAATAAAAAAACATCAAATGTGAGCTGTCACACAGTGAATACTAGGAATGCCAACTAAAGCAATATTAGATAATGTTAGTGATTTTAGAACAGCTAAAACAAGGGCTAAATGGTTTTTATAAAACTGTTACTACATATACCTAGCAAGGTTTCATAAACACATAGCAATAACATTTTTGTAATTTATTAATAACAAATAATAAAGATTAGTTGCCAAGCAACACACAGATGCAGTGGCGCAGTAATACTGATATAAAGCACTGGCACCTACTAGACTACGTTATCGTCAGGCAAAGAGACGTCAAAGTAACTAAAGCAATGTGTGGTGCAGAATGCTGGACCGATCACCGGCTGCTGATCTCCAAGCTTAACATCAGAATTCAGCCTCCAAGACGGCCGCAGGTGAAGAAGGATCCAATGAGACTGAATGTTTCTAAGCTGAAGTGTACCCAGGTTAAGCAGTCACTGGCAGAAGAGCTGGACAGCAAGCTGGAACCTTTGAATTTTGACTTGCACGATGTTGACTCAGACTGCACTCTAAACCCGGATAAGCTGAGTTTACTTAAACATTTGGAGGAAACTGGTTGCCCTAAAAAGATTTACGTAATGTTTACTTGATAAACTTGAGTGAAATTTACTTAAACCATTTAAGTTTTGTTAACTTAATTGAATCTGTGATCTGAGGAACATTACTACTCAGAATTACTGACTCCCAGAGTGCATTGCGGCATGAATAAATTATGCAATTGCTTTGTTTTACAGTAGTTTTTAATTTTCCAATTTTATTTGCAGTCTTGTGTCAGTAGTAGCACAACAAAAAGAGCAACTACAATGTTTATTGTTACAATTAATACAAATAAATGAAATTGAATTGTTACCATTGTTGTGATTTGTGTGCTGAATGTTGAAGTCTGTGTGTGACTTGAGCATATTACCACAAATACGAAAGGATTATATCAACCCAATAAAAAGCTTCTCAAGGTATTCATGTAAATCAATGAAATTGTATAAGATTGTTAATAATCACAAAACAATACACTAATGATTTAAT